TAATAGATGTCACTACAAGTAGTTCATACATGTAACTAACCATTTTGCTTGGGGCTTTGTTACTTGATTGAGCCTTTAATCAATGGATTTAATCAATGGTGTGTTCTTTGAATGGTGGCTAATACTGTAGACTGTACAAAAATAGAGGTGTGGTTGTCAAAACCAGGTCTGAACTGTTCAAAGCATGATAAACATTCATTTCACAACTAGATTGTATAAGGGCAATGGTTGTGCTCAGATCCCTGTGTTTATTTCTCCCCTAGCAGTGAAATGGATTGAATCCCCATTCCATTCAACAGACACATGCTGAAAGATCATTGTGTTAATGGGGGATGTGTTCCTTCATTGTATTTTGTTTATTGCCTTTTGTATTGCATTCATGATATTAAATGTGCTTTGCAATAAAAAAATTAAATTCTTGACAACTTCAATTTTTCTTCACTTGATAATAATGTGTCCTGTCTCCATACCTTTTCAGTCTGTATCCAGAACAGATAATGAGGGAGGATGGACTTTATGAGAAGGAATGTGGCATCAGACTGGAGGAAGATTCATCAACAATCTGTGTTATGCAGATGACACAGCCTTCCTTGTTGAAACTAAGGACCCTCTGAAGCATTTGCTGCATAGGGTCAAGGAATCTGAAATATAGATTGAAACTCAACATCAAGAAAACAAAGATTCTCACCCCTGGGCCAATTGGCAGCATCATGACATATAGAGAAGAGATTGAGGTTTCTAACAGTTTCAGCTTGCTCGGTTCCACAATCAACACTCTTGGCATCAGCAGTCAGGATATCAAAAGACTAATTTCATTAGAAAAATCTGCTGTCAGGGACTTCTACAGAGTATTGAAGAGCAAGGATATCAGTTTAGAGATTAAAGTGAACCTGATCCAGGCCATGGTCTTCACAATTACTTGTTATGCTTCAGAGAGATGGGCAATGACCAAGCATGACATAAAAATAATTGATGCCTTTGAGTTGTGGTGCTGGAAAAGAGTATTGAACATACCATGGATTGTCAAGAGAAATAACAGGTCTATGTTGGAAAGGGTGTTCTTTGGAGTAAAGAATTTTGAGATTCCATCTCACATACTTTGAGCATGTAGCCAGGAGGGACCAGTCTTTGAAAAAGGATATCGTGCTTGGAAGGGTTGATGGACAGCACAGTAGAAGAAGACCCTAGATGAGGCAGATTAACAAAATAACTGGGGTAATAAGGGTTAGTGTGTTAGAGACAGTGAGATTGGCTCAGGATAGAACAGGGCCCAGAGCTATTGTGCGTAGTGTCACTTTGAGTCGTATACAGCACATAACAACAGTAACAATAACAGTAACATAATGATTTATATATTTGTGAGGATTTTTTGTTTTCTTTATATTGAAGTTTGATCCATACTGAAGGATATATTTTTTTTAACCCCATCAATAAGTGCTTCAAGTCCTCTTCACTTCCAGTAATCAAAGTTGTATCATCCACATATAGCAGGTTGTTTCCAGTCTTTCTCAGCACCAAAACTAAACATTGTATAAAGAAGGTTACAACTTTGATTTACACATTTCCTGATTTTAAACCATGTAGTCTCCCCTTGTTCTGTTCAGATGACTACTTCTTGGTAATGCCTGAGAACTTTCAATCCCAGAGGAAGGTACTGGGCAGATGATAGCAGAGGAAAAGAGGAGGATTTCTTTGACCCCTCCTTAAGACCAGAATGCCTCCCAATGGTTTCCTAGGTTGGGTATAGTTGGCAAGATCTGGAATGGAGGGAAAAAATGGCAATAATAGACAAAATTCTAGAAGCAAGCAAGGGCGTAATCAGTGTAGGTTGTTTGTTCTAATGTCAATCTGCTAGATCTAATAATGTGTAGATAGAGATGATTTAGTGATCCAGTTAGTAGAGAGTTGTGCTGCTAACTTAGAAATCACAGGCATTTTAAATCTACCAGCTGCTCCATGGGAGAAAGATGGGCAATTGCCTCTTGATTTAAAGCCTTGGAAATCCACTCAACTGCTACTCGACAGCAGTGAGTTTGAGTTGAGCTTTTTAATATTAATACTTCGTGGTTTACAGAACTTTGACTTAGGGGTTTAGTCAGTGTTTATATTCAACTATTATTAACAGTAAATTTCTGTTGTTTTTAGGTGCCTTTGAGTTGGCTTTAAGTCATATCAAGCCTGTGTACAATAGAATGAGACCATACTGGTCCTCTGTTACCCTCATAATTTTTGCTGTTTCCATTGTTGTAGCCACAAATCCAAAATCTCTGCAAATGCTCATTAAAATTCTTTTAAAAAATAAAGCTTAAGAAGAAAAAAAATCTTCTTTCTCATTGATTCTCCACCTTTATTTCTGCCGTTTCCTTCTGATAACACGCCCAAAGTATGTGAGATGACTGACACTTCTAAGGAACATTCTGACTGCACTTCTCCAAAGACATTTGTGTGTTCTTTTGACAGTATGTAGTATATGCAATATTTTTTATCATCATTTATATGCATAAATGTCATATTTTATATGCATAAATTCTTCTATCTTGTTCATTGTCCAACTTTTGCACACATAGGAGTCTATTGAAAATACCAGGACTTGGGTCATGTGTACTTTTTGCTTTTGGTAATATCTTTACACTTTAAGATTTTAAAGAGAAAGACTATACTTTCAGGGATCACTTCTATACTTCATTACTAGAGAAGTTTCTCTGATCATGTAGAGCACCAAAGCACAAGGTCAAAAAGCTAAATAAAAAAAGTCACTTCTTTAATAAAATCATAAAAAATATCTTAAAAAGATATTTTGCAGTAAGTATACACAATGCAATATATTTTTTTTTCATTTCTTGACTACTGCTAGCAAATCAGACAATAAATCATACTGCTAAAATAATAACTTTAGGGACAAAAAATAAAGTCAATTGTGTCAAAAAACATTATGACAATTGAAAGAAGGTGGAAGTATTTGAACTCTTTAGAGTTTAGTGAGATTTATCAAGAGAAGATTCTAGAAAAAAAATTATGGAGCTACACATGTCAAATATAACAGATTGAGAAGAGGGGAAGCTTTTGTGCCCTTTCTTCATGGATGAAACTCAAGTATAACGTAAGGACACATTAAAGCATGTATTTAATAAACAATATCTAGTCATTGAAATGTTATTATGTGCTTTCCAGTTGACTGCAACTCACAACAACTCATAAGTACATTGAAACACAGTTATTCTTATTATATCATTTAATTGCTCTAAGGCACAAGCATTTTCCTAGAGAAATCATATATACATGTTTCTCTGACATCAAATACAGGAAACCAGCAAAGTCTCAGTCTGTTTTCATCCCTGAGAATGTCAAGAATCAGAACTCTGCAATGGGAGATGTCTGTCTTTGCTTTTGGCCTTTGAAGCCAGTACTCCAATAACAAGTGCTGGCACTCACCGTGCTGTCCGGTGGCAAGGACACACCATGCCTGCCACTCACAGTCTTGGAGTGCACAATGACATCTTTCTGTGTGTAAAGATAAGTGGGTGCTTGTTGTGGTGCAAGTCAGAAATGAAAATGCATCACCTGCAAATAATATCTTCAGGTTCACTTGTGGACCTGTTCAGCGTACAGTCTTTTTTCAGTCTGTAGTTGTTTCTTTAAAATGAGAGCAGACACTTCTATTACATACAGAATTGAATAAAAATCAAAATCAGCAACCACTGAATCAATGGTTAATTTTAAGGCAGTGAAATATTCTCCTCAAAAACACAATTTCTTCTATGGTAATCCATTGTATGAGCAACATTTTACCTTTTTGGAGCAGAATAAAGCAGAATGTGAAGATAAAACTTAAGGAACTTTAAAGTAAAGATAAATGAAGCTGAGATGCAGTCACTAATTTACTGATATAAATGAACAAAACTTTAACTTGAAAATACGCTTTTTTTGTATAAGAATCAGACTGCTCAGGTTTGCTCTGTAGCTATTTAATCTCTAGTGAGCTCTTTAACATTGATGATGATCCAGATATGAAATAGGGATAATAATAGCATTATTATGAAGAAAACATTACATAATTTATGTAGTACTTAGCACAATATCCATTTGTAAGGAGGCACTTGATACATATTTACTTGTTTGCTCTGCTGGCCTTGTGGTAGGCACTGCCAAACCAAAGTCATGCGGTTCAAATCCACCAGCTGCTCCACGAGAGAAAGATTGGCAGTATCTTGTATTGTGATTAACTGCCTCTGAAAATCCTCTGGAGGATCAGGTATGGGTCAGTTCCATCTCAAGGGTACATAACACCAACATTATAATTTTTAAAAAAAGAAAATTTGCAGTGATTTCTCAAAAGCCATTTTAAACAGATCAGATTTTTAGGAAGAAGGTTATTGAGCTTAGGTGAACTTAGAGCTAGCACTTTCTCATTGCTAAAAGTGCACTTTTAATGTGTGTATGTGTGTGTATTCGTATCTATTAACTTTAGTTGGAGATGTCGGATAGTTGGTGTTCCTTCAGAACGTTTACTAAGGGTGTAAGAACCATTCCTAGGGTAGTATGCATCACTACTGACAGGCAATGCATTTTAGTATCTATTATATTTGCATGTATGAGCTTAAGATGAATAAAATCAGAATTTAGGCATTCCTGACAAAGGAAATGAGTTGAAAGAAAGAAGAGTTGAGCCTTTTTAAGGAGAAAATTTTCCTATCTTTCAGTGTCAGAATGTGGAAATGTTTACAAAATACTCATTAAAAGAAAAACGGATTTCAAGATAGAAACAAAATCTGGTGCACAAGTTTACACTAGCAAGATAAGAAAGGTTAGGCCACTATAGAGGATTTTGTTGTCCAATTACTGCAACCTGACTTCAGAGGAGAGAGGAAGAGTGGTAGGGGGAAGGAGAGAGTGAAGGACTTTCCAAACTTGTCAACTCTCATGACATGAGACATTTACACTCCACAAGATAAAACGACCACTTACCGCTCAGGAGAGCTAGACTTTCCTGTTTAGGCTGAGGGTTCGAATAGAGTCATGGTTTCTCCAGTGCTGGGGCTGTGTACTTTCTACTGCCTACTGGTTCACTGGGTTTTTGGCAGTCCCATCATGAACCTGGAACCTCTGGAAGAAGACATGCCACTCTTTGATGATGTCTTTTCAGAACAAGATGGTATTGACTTTAACACACTGCTGCAGAGCATGAAAAATGAGTTTCTCAAAACATTGAACCTGTCTGATATCCCTCTGGAAGACTCAGTCAAGGTTGACCCACCAGAGTACATGTTGGAACTCTACAACAAATTTGCAACAGATCGAACCTCTATGCCATCTGCCAACATCATTAGGAGTTTCAAAAATGAAGGTAAGCTTATATTTTTGCTAATGAAAATCAGCTTGAGTATGTTAAAGAAATAATAAGTGAGCTTATCAGGCATAGGAATGTTATAGATAAAGGTGACTGTAGTTTCAATGCAGTGCTTGGGCAATTTGAACACCAACAGAGAAAATTAATATTGGTCTACTACTGTACTCTTTGTTGCCATTTATCTCACAGACTTCATTTGACTATTAATTTACCATATTTCACTTGGAATGAAATTATAAAAATGGAAAACAAAACAAATGAAATATTGTGATTCAAGTTTTGCTCAAACTTTGGTTGAGCTTCCATTTTGTGATTTCAGGAATGCTCATGCAGAATGAAAATGTCTGTTTTTGAGAGTCTTCCTCAAATTTTGTTGTGTTTGGTAGGCCATTCCATGAATGTAGTTTATAGTTTCTGGGATGTGAATGTGGCCCAATTAATGATCTGTACTAATTACAAGTTCTATGCTTTAAAATATTAGTGAAAAGTGTTTTCTCTTCCTATAACTAACTCTAATGGGATAAAATTAATCCTTTAATACGATTCCAGTTGACCAACTCTTGCCCCTTAGTATACATTCAGAAGCAGTGAGTCTAAAGAAGAAAATTCTTTAATAATTACACTTTAATTATAATTAAAGTTTTCAGTTAGCAGCGCATGTTATGCACTATGCCAACACTTCTTTTACAAAATCTTTAGGCACATATAAAAGAAGATTTTTATTACCATTGGCTAGTCTTGAAAGCAGGAAAGCAGTATCAAAGAGATAGCTCAGGATTTGGGGTTTTGAGAGCTACTAGACTTTTCAGGGAATTTTGGAGGTGTAGTCCATAGTAGGCTTCTCTGGAGATTTGAATTCACTACCTGTTCCTCTGGAGAAAGAAAGGTAGTCTCTTTCCTTGAGATTTACAGCCTTTGAAATAAAAAGCGGAGTCAGGTATGAGATGATTTTGACTTGGCAACAATGAGAGAGAGATTTGATTTTGCAATTGTAAAGAAATAGATTAATTTCTCTGAACTTCAATCTCCTTTTGTAAATTGGAGATAGCTATGTCACACAGTTTAATGACACTAAAGAGGTTATAGGTAAAGTAGATCTTCATTTGCAATGAAATGGTGAACAAAAATTGGTTATTATTAATGCTGTGTTGCTGTCTTTGCTTTGTGCTGTTACGTCAGAACCAACTCAGTTGACCTTCCAACTGGTTTTCAGATGCTGTAAACCATGTGGATCACTGCACATCTTTCTTTCCTAGAACAGCTAGTAGATTCGAATCCCCTGCCTTTGGGTTGGCAGGGTAACGCTTTCCTGCTAAGCCAACACACCAAAATCCCCTTATTAAAAAAGGATTATTTAATATTTTAGATACAGGAGTAGATTTTGAGTAAGAATTGCTTAGTTCTTAAAATATTTTTTGCCTATATATATTAGTCAACTTATAAGACTTAGAATATTTAGCTCATATTTCTATTAGAAATGGCCAATTGAATTTAAAAATTCCATTTGTAGGTGAGCCTAAATGGAAAATGAACCACTGCCTTCCCTGGGAGACTTCCTTTGTGCTTCTCTCCACCAAGTGTCTGGTGCAGAAGTGACTGGAAAACTAGTGTTTGCATCCCTTGGGAAATTAGAACTATTCTCAGTTCTCACTTCTTACACGGAGAATGTGAGTGATCTAGGCCAAGCTATGGAATCTGCAGAATTTATTATTACTAGAAATTACCTGGGACCTGAGCATATCTCTCAATAGAAATCCTGCTTCTGTACCTCTGCTGGTCTGTAGATAGGGCATGTAGCCCTGAAGGTCAAAGTCTTGCACTACACCCTCCCTGTTGGCTGCTCTGGTAGGTTGCAAGAAGTGTATCCTTTGACTATTTAAGTCTTCCTAGTGTAGCTCCCACAGAGGAACAAGGCAATAGTAAGCTCTGGTAGCCTAGTAAGGGAGCTCTGGTGGCTTAGTGATAAGAACCTATGCAGCAATACTGAAGTCACACAGTTCTAATTCACCAGTTACTCCTTGGGAGAAACATGGGCAATCTCTTCCCATGCTAATTAACTGCCTTTGAAAACCCACCAGAGGGGCAGCTATCAGTCAGTTCTAACTCAATGGTATACACCAACAAATGGCTTAGTCCACAACAAGTTGCACTGCCAATCCAAAGAAGCCAATCCACCAGCCGATCCATGGGAGAGAGATAGGCAGTCTCTTGTTACTAGATTTACAGTCACTGAGCTATGAGTTGGTTCCAACTTGATGGGAATGAGTTTGTTTTTTGTTTTGTTTTATTTTTTTTTTTTAACAAATTGATTCCTACCTCCAAGGTGGCAAAATCATGCCTTCAGGTCCTTGCAATGTTACATTTTTACCCTGTTGTTAAGATCTCTGCTCTATGTCTTCCAATGCAAAGTGAATACAAAAGAAATATCTAAGTTTTGGGGGTTATTGTATAACTAAATAGGATAATATTTGTCTGACATATTAAATTAGCTCAAAAAATACTTGTTCCCTTGGTTGGAAATTTAGCACTCCCACACATTACTTATTTCATTTACACTTCCACAGGATTTTGCTAAGGGTAATATTTTTTCCAACAGCTTTGTTCTTTTTGTTGTTGTATGTGTCACTGAATCAGAACCAATATGCAGACAGTAAATTGCTCAGAAGAAGATTTCCCACCTTTCTTGGAGTATCTGGTGCATTCAAATTGGGTGCCTTTGAGTTGGCAGCACAGATCCTTACCCACCAGTTCACCAGAGCTCCCTTAAATGGCTTTACTACAATACAGTAGGCATATGGTAAACTACCCATTGCTGCTATGTGACATTGAATTAGAACCAACTCACATTGCACAGGGGAAGATAGCCCATCTTTCTCCCACAGAGCAGCTCAAATCACCTGCTGGTAGCACAACTTCTCACCACTAAGCCACCAGAGTTCCAAACTACACACATAGAAAGTGTGTAAGTTTTCGGTTTTGGGTATTGTTAGGATTTGTTGGTGCCACTACATCAAAGCTGTGAATGCATCTATTACCATCACTTGTTTCTTTGTGTGCCTTTATAATCCTTTCCTTCCACCACAGTGAATTTTTACTCTCACTTTTTGGTTGTGCAAAAACCAGTCTCTATCATTGCTTTTTTATGTTCCCTGTTAAATGAATACAGTTGATTCCATTCTCATAATGGAAAGAAAGCTTCCCAAATACTCCAGTTACTAACCTGTTTAGTATGCTATTGTTGTTGTGTACCGTCAAGCCAGAACATATCCACGGCTAACCCTCCAGTGGATTTTCAGAAGCAGTTAATCATACAAGAGGACATAGTCTATCCTTCTATGGAGCAACTGGTGAATTTGAAACGTGTGTCGTTGAGATTGTAGTGTAGTTTTTTACCACTAGGCCACCAGAGCTCCCTGGTTTGGTATCAATATACCAATATATCCATAAGTTTGTTCAAGTTGAAGTCCAAGATCATCAATAAATAAATATTCTTAAATGGTTGTGTCTTTGTCAGAGATTTTCAGAGGTTAAAAAAAAAAAAAAAAGCACACACACAAAACCACCAGTTAAGCAGTGGTACCTGATGCATAATGAAAATTTAGTTGGGAAGATCCATTCCTAAAAAGACAAGTACAAGAACGTAAAGGGGGAAGAAATATAGATAGATGATATAGATAGATAGATAGATAGATAGATAGATAGATAGATAGATAGATAGATAGATAGATAGATAGATGATAGATAGAAAGTGCTCAAGTCACTCAGTGGGAAGTGGACTTCCAAATAAGGAAGTGAGGAGAGAGAGTGACACAGGGAAGGATGAGAGCTGAGTCTTACCATTCATTGAGTAAGTGAAGACAAAGCAAGAGGGCTTTCCAGGACTCATAAGTACCCATAGGCAGGAAATCCAGTAAAGCTAAGGAGTTCTGGCAAATGACAAAGAACACTCTCTTGAAACAAGAAGATTTACATTTTATCTTCCAACAACTATTAAATGAACAATTGCAATGTCTCATGTACTGAATAGTAATTACATCTTGATCAAGGGTTGAAGATTTATCAGAGAAGTATCAGAGAGCAGGGAGAGACTGTGAAGATTGTGCCAGCAAGTTCTAGTTTTCCAACTAACCCATCAAACAGGACAAAATATTAAGTTTTTCAAAGTTCATGAGTTTAAATTCACTCTATCAGTAAGTATTTATTTTCCTCTAGCAGTAGGAAAGGTGATTTGTTATGGTACAACAAGAAAGCTATCATATCTAAAGTACTATATAATTTTTACTAATGTGGATTAAAAACAATATATATATATATATCACATTAAAACTATCATTTTGTGACTCCTATTGTTTATAGCAGGTATAAAAGAGATGGTTGTTGCAGTTAGGTGCCATCGAGTTGAGCATGACTCATAAAGATACTGTGAACAAAAGATCTGAACCCTGTTCTATCCTGTGCCATCCTCACCCTTTCTGATGCACGAGAGACCATTCCAGCAGTCGCCATGTCAATCCACCTGGTTAAGGGTCATCCTCTTCTTCTCCAACCTTTCACCCTTCCCAGCTTCATGTCCCTTTTCAAGGAATAGCCCCTCCTAGCACCATATTCAAAGTATGTGAGGTGAAGCCTCATCATTTGTGCCTCCAAAGAGCATTCTGGCTGTGCATCCTCTCCAAGACATATCTGTTTGTTCTCTTGGCCATCCATGAGATGTTCAGTGTTCTTCTCCAACATCACAGCTCAAAAGCATCAATTCTTTTCCTGTAAACTTTTTTCATTATCCAACCTTAGATGTATAGCAAGTGATTGTAAAGACTATGGCCTGAACCAGACACACATCAGTCCTCAAGGTGACATCATTACTTCTCAATAATTTGGAGAGGTCCCTAACTACAAATTTTCCCAGTAGTATGTCTTATTTCCCAACTGCTGGTACTAAGGGTCTTAAATGTGGATTCAAGCAAGATGAAGCTGTTGACAGTTTCAATCTTCTCTCCATCCACCATGATGTTGCCTATCAGTCCAGTGGTAAGAATCTTTGTTTTTTTATACATTCAGATGCGATCCAAACTGAAGACTGCATCCTTCAATCTTCTGCAACAAGTGCTTCAAATTTTCCTCACTTTCAGCAAGCAAGGTGGTGTCATCTGCATACTGCAGGTTATTGATTCCTCCAATCCTGATGCCACATTCATAGATTCCACCTTCTCAGATAATTTGCTCAGCATACAGATTGAATAGGTATGGAGAGAGACTACAACTCTGCTTCACTCTTTCTCAATTTTAAACTATTCAATTCACTGTTATCTTGCTCCATTCTCATAAGAGCCTCTTGGTCCAGGTATAGGTTCTGCATGAAGACAGTTAAGTGCTCTTGGATTGCCATTCTTCTCAGTGCCAAGTATAACTTATTAAGATCCACACAGTCAAATGTCTATGCATAGTCAATAAAGTACAAATAGGTATTCTTCTGGTATTCCTTACTTTCAGCCAGGATGCACCTGACATCAGAAATTATATCCCTAATGCCTGATTAAGACAGATTAGGAAGCAGGAGGGGCCATCTACTTCCTAAATAACAGGCCTTTAAAGGAAGAGGATAGTTATAATAGTGTAGTGATAGGACCCCCTTTGGCCCTTTGGGCTTTAAGCCACCACCTGCCTTAAACCATAGGCCAAACCTCAAGGAACCCTTTCCTGAGGGGGAGAGCAGTAAGTACTGCACATCAAACACAAGCCCGTAAAACACACGACCCCAAAACCTTGAGACTTGCACGTATGAACCACCATGCTCAGGCAGCAAGAAGTCACAGAAAACCTGGGTAGAGTCATCCAGGAACGACCTGGCCGCCTTCTCCTCCCCTTTTCCTTTGGGGCTTTAAGCCACCAGCTGCCTGAAACCCTAGGCCAAGCCTCAAGGGCCTTGCTCCTAGAGGTAAGAGCAGTACTGCATGTCAAACACAGGCCTGAAAAAGCACAGGACCCCAAAAACTGCGGCCCTCGGGCCTGGTTCAAATTGGTTTTTTGTCAAACATTCTTCTAGATGGTATAGCACTGTTCTGTGCATTGCTATACAGAGGTAACTTGTGGTTGCTATGATGCTAAACACTGTGACACTGAGGTGCCAAATGTGGTAATGGTCACCCATGGTGGACAGTGTTTGGTGGAGCTTCTTGATTAAAACAAGCTTGGAAGGAGGTGTGGCATCCACTTCCAAAATGGCTTGCCTCCAGAAACCCTATGAACAGTGCTCAGGTTTTTCATTTGTAGGGTCACTATGAGTCGTTTACAACTCGATGGCACCTAATAACAACAACAACAATGGTAGAACCCAGATTGGAAGTCAGTTGAAATGAAGAAAAACAATAACTGATATCATTTAATAATTAGAACATGGAATGTACATAGCTTGAATCTTGGAAAACTGGGAATTGTTAAAAATGAAATGGAATACATGAACATCAACATACTAAATATTAGTGAGATGAGATGGATCAGCTTTGGCCACTTTGAATCAGATAATCATACGGTATAAAAGAGGTAATAAATACAAAAATAATGAAACCAAGATAAAGGATAATATTGAAGAGTATAATCTGAAAGAGTGATCCAATAAAAATCATTAATTGAATATATAGAAGCACTACCAAAGATGATGTCATATACTTTAATTAGTGTCTTTAAATCCCTTTGATAATCAAATGACAAATGCCTTCAAGGAGCCCATCATAAACACCTATTCCCTAAAGCAAGTGCGTGAAAGCCTTGAACTTACAGTAAAATTTTTAGATAAGAAGTCAATAATGATAGTATTTGGAGGTATGCTTATAAAGTGAATGTACCTTTAACACATTATTTAACAAACATTCTTGAATTTTTCATATGTGATACACCCATTTTGGGACTAGAATTGTAATCATACAACAATTGATCTATCTCCAAGATTTATTTTCTCCCATTCCACCCAAATGTCAAACCCCACTGATTTGTGACCCCACTGATTTATGTCTGTTTTGTTGATCTTGTTAGGCTTTGTTGTCAAGAACAGGGTTTGCTGGGGTTTTTTTCTGCAAAGTTGCTTTTTATTTCCACCAAGTTATTCTACGTTAAATAAAATAGTAAATAAACTTTGTGAGCTATCTGTTGCATCTATTTAACTCTGTCATTGTACAAAACCAAAAATAGATAATTCAGAAACAAACAGGCCAGTATAAAACTTTAGAAATCAGATTGTGGGCAAGATTTGGCCTGTGTGGCACAGTTTGCAAATTCCTGATCTGTTGTTGAGTGACAATAGATTTCAAGTCATAGCAGCCCCATGTGGTAAGTAGAACTGCCCCTTACTGTTCCCTAGGCTGTAATCTCTGTGAGATCAAGTTGTCACATCTTCCTCCAGTGCAGCTGTGGTGGGTTTGAATTGCCAGTCTTTCTATTAGCAGCCAAGCATAGTCCTCATTAATGAAAAGTTTACTGTAAGAATGATCACCACCTTTCCCACTTAATGGATAATCTCTGGTTAGAAAACAGGAGATTGGGTTTCACAATCCCTAAACTCTCAGGTCTATGATGCTATAGTTGATAAGCTACTTAAGCAAGACTGCAAGTTTCCTCTTATGCATTTTGTCATTGTTATGTACCATCGTATTGGAACCAACTCACACCTGACCTTCCAGCAGATTTTCACAGGAATTACACAGGAAGAAATAGCTCGTCTTTCTCCTTTGGACCAGCTGGCGGATTTGAACCATGTGTCTTTGGATTGGCAGCACAATTCCCTACCATAAGAGCCATCAGAGCTCTCATCTGACCCATTTGGTCATATTTTTTTTAAAAATTAATCTTGGCAACCTAACCCAATTTAGCATTCGACTATTGTCCTTTCAGTATTTCTGATTATGAGAACCCTAACATTATGTATACTTTCATTGATCTCATCTCCTTCTCTATCAAGCTTCTACATGGGCATATCCTCTTTTTACATATCTAAGCAACAGTTTAACATATTGAAAAATCTAATTTTTGTCTCTTTTTTTCTCAGATCTGTTCTCCCAACCAGTCAGTTTTAATGGGCTCCGGAAATATCCTCTCCTCTTCAACGTGTCCATCCCTCACCATGAAGAGGTTATCATGGCTGAACTTAGGTTGTATACGCTAGTGCAAAGAGATCGCCTGATGTATGAAGGAGTGGACCGGAAAATTACCATTTTTGAAGTACTAGAGAGCAAAGACGAGAGAGACAATGAAAGAAACATGTTGATTTTGGTGTCTGAGAAGATCTACGGAACCAACAATGAGTGGGAGACTTTTGATGTCACAGATGCCATCAAACGCTGGCAAAAATTAGGTTCATCCACCCACCAGCTGGAAGTCCACATTGAGAGCAGACATGAAGAAGCTGAGGGTCCTGACAGGGGACAACTAGAAATAGATACCAGTGCCCATAATAAGCATGTACCTTTGCTGGTTGTGTTTTCTGATGATCAAAGCAGTGACAAGGAACATAAGGAGGAATTGAATGAAATGATTTCTCATGAGCAATTTATGGAACTGGACAACTTAGGCCTGGATGATTTCTCCAGTGGCCCTGGGGAAGAGGCTTTACTGCAGATGAGGTCAAATATCATTTATGATTCCACTTCCCGAATCAGAAGGAATGCCAAAGGGAACTACTGCAAAAGGACCTCCCTCTATATTGACTTCAAGGAGATTGGGTGGGATTCCTGGATCATCGCTCCACCTGGATATGAAGCCTATGAATGCCGTGGTGTTTGTAACTATCCTCTAGCAGAACACCTCACACCCACAAAACATGCAATCATCCAGGCTTTGGTTCACCTCAAAAATTCCCAGAAGGCTTCCAAAGCCTGCTGTGTACCCACAAAGCTGGAACCCATATCCATCCTCTATTTAGACAAGGGCGTTGTCACCTACAAGTTTAAATATGAAGGCATGGCAGTCTCTGAGTGTGGCTGTAGATAGGAGTTCCGAGGCTTATTTAACAACTGTAAATGTGTATATTGTGTTACTATTTAATGAGATTATTTATGAGGGTGTACAGAAAATACAGGCTTATTGCCTTAGGTGAATAGATAGGCCAGTTCACTGTAGGAAATGCATATTTTGCTGTATACACTGGTCCCTTTCAACATTATTTTCCTTCTGACTTGCTGTTTTCTGACAATGCTGTCTCTCATAGCAAATGGGAAGCCCAAACTACTTGTCTTCTATGTAAATTTAGAAACAATATCCCTAAACAGAAATGCAGTATCAAAAGATATCTGTGTATGTATATGTGTACAAACATGAGTTTATAAATATCTTTTGGTACTATATAAGCTGCTTATAGTTTGTAAATGTATGACTAATTCAAATGTGTGAATATTAAAAGTCAGTGGTGTGATCTCAATCACCCCTTCTCTCTGTAGGATTTGTGTCAAGGCTATTTGTATGAGGTATTTAATAATTTAAGGAGCATGATAGTTCAGGAGTGAACCAAAAGATTGATTGTTCGAACTCACCAGCTGCTCTTTGGCAGAAGGATGTGGCAATTTGCAGCCATAAAAAATTATTCATGAGACAAACTTGTCAACTATAGGGATAAGTTCTGCTCTGTCTTATAGGATTCTCTGAGTAAGAATGTACTTGATGGCAAATAGCAACATCAAGCAAACCACTCTATGCAGAGTCCCTGGATAGTGGAAATAGTTGGAACTACCTGCAGCTGTGTTCACTCAGAAGTGCCTCAGAAGAAAGGCCTGGTAATCTGTTTCCAAAAAAATTATTCATGAAAGATCCTTATTATTGTTAGTGTGTACCATCAAATTGGAACCAACTTATAGCTATCCCTCCACTAGGCTTTCAGAGGCAGTTTTTAATCACATGAGAAGAGCTTGCCCATCTCCCTTTCACAAAGCAGCTAATGTGTTCAAAGAACATGCCTTTGGAATGATAGAGCAGCTCCTTTACCACTAAGTTACCAGAGTCATGGAATATAATTCTATTTTTATACACATGTTATGAATTGGCATTAACATGATGACAACTGGTTTGGGGGTTTTGTTTGGGTTTGTTGTGTTGTTGTTGTTGTTGTATGGAGCATTGTAATTGTTGTCATTGTGTACCATCGAGTCAGAACAGATCCTCCAATGGGATTTTAGAGTCCGTACCTTGCAAAGAAGTTGGTTGCCCATCTTTCTCCTGTGGAGCAGCTGGTCAATTTGAACCACATATCTTTGTGTTAGCAGTTCATTTCATTACCACGAAGTCACCAGAGCTCTCTAATGGAGTACATGTCCTAAATATTGTTGAATGTAAGGGTAGGTTTAGCCAGTTGTGTTTCTGCCATTGGTAAGGGAAACAGGGCTCAGTGGTGTATACTTGAGGGGAGGTACATTTCATTACACAAGCCAAAACCTTTGAGAGGTAACATAAGCCTTAGGAAGACAGCAGCAGTCAATGATCCCACAAGGGACCAAGGTTCTCTTGTGGGCTGCACCTGGCCAGAAAGGAAATCAAGGACCTCAGCCTGAAATCTGTTCCTGAAACAACAGGAGAATTCAGCCATAGTGTTGGCTTTGATATGTGCAGAGGGTAAAGTTGGTGAGAGGAGGTTTCCAGGGGAGAAGAGACATAGGGTCTAGATTCCATCTTCAGGTGTAATTGCAAAATTAAAAGATATTCACATTGAAGAATGTAAATTTTTGGACAAAATAAAATTATTCAAAACTGAGGAAGGAATCAGATGGGATCTGTTTTCTTAATATTTTTCTTCAGTTTTTGCTATTTTTTCTCTTGCCTCTGCACTTCTGCTCTTGATGCTTTCTCTCTCTCTTCTTATTTCTCACATCTTCCTTCTGTTTCCATCTGCTTGCCTTCATGGGCTTCTACTCTTGCTGTGGGTCTTGAAAGAATATGCCATCAGGATGAAATGGGTTAGTGCTTTAATTTCTATATTCTCCCTTGATATTTAAATTTATCATTGTTGTTAAGTGTCATCAAGTTGAATACACCTCCGAATGGCCCTATGAACAAGCTATCTGAACCCTGTCCTATCCTGTGCCATCCTCATCATCTCCGACATGCTTGTACCCATTGCTGCAGTCACTGTCAAGCCATCTTAAAGAGGGTCTTCTTCCCTTTCTGTGACCTTTCACCTTTCCGTTATCATTTATTAAATATTTTACCTGGAAAGAAAGAAAAAAGAAAAATAAGTTTCAAAACAATGCATTCAAACAAAGAAATAGATCTACAAATGACTCAACAGAGAAGACTGTATTTTGGCATCAAATTTGTTCCATAACATTAAGAACTACAGCCTTTCTTTTCAAGGACTTGCCAGGGCTGGGCTCTAGGACATGCAAGTGTTCCTGGCAGGAATAGGTTGATGGTGTGTCCAGCAGTCTTGAACTGTGAGGACGTTGAGATCCTGGCTCCAGTCTTAGCCCCCTGGAGCATGGTCAGGACTGTATGCAGGAGGAGTCTGAACAGAATTATTCTCAAGCCTTCCAAGGACTGGTTCACCCTAGATAAAGGAATGTGGATTCTAATATACTGTCCTCCACTCACCTCCATGGATGCTTCCTTAGGAAGTTTTGCACTTTCATTTTCCTTTAACCTAGGAAATGTCCATAAACTTAAAATTAGCTATAATAGTAAGGGAAGCTACTTTGAAGAATAGTTTGTCCAATATTGATCTCATTTGCATACCTTAATTGATCATTGGTGTCCAGAGTGGATGTCCTAGGGAAATCCACTGCCCTAGGAAGAGTAAAATTTCAACCATGTGTGCAAACAAAAATTGACAATTTGAGATGGCCAAGGAACTTGTAATTGTTCACTTACAGAATAGCCTTCCTATAAAGGTATGCATGTTTGTGTGTGTGCACACATGTCTTTGGCTTCAAAGGGATGTGACGCAGCTCTTAAACTCTGTGGACATAATGTAAACTTTACAGTACTTCTTTTTTTTTGGTACTTCTTATTCTTTCAAAAGGATTCTGTTTTATACACACACACACACACACACACACACACACACACACACACTAAAACCTTGTCTGGTTCATGAGATAAAAAATCAAGAAAAAAAAATTTTTATGCCTAACCCAAGGCAGGAACGTGCTGGTAAATATTTCTTCTGGCAAGAATTTAAAAAAAAATTAAAAACCAAAACACATACAACAAAGAACACCTTTAATTTGTGAGTTTCAATGGTGTGAATGCTCTCACCTGACATAAAAACCCACCGCTTATCTCAAGTACCAATGAAATGTTTAACTGGTTTGTACAACTACTGAAAATGTAATCAGAGGCTCTCAACCCATGAGGGCCAGTGTGCCACTGACACAACTGCAAACAGATGCCAGAACAGGAACAACAACGTGCCAGCTACCCAGTTCCCCTTCCTCAAGTTCTCCAGGGTTCCTGTCACCTTTCTACCTGTGGGCACTTAACATTACTATATGGTCTAAGATGAAAATTTAAGCTATCAGCAATCAGATGGCATTTCCAGATATTTCTTTTTTTCCCAAAGTACATACAACTTGTGTTCCCATGATTTTTCTGCTTCATACAGAAAAAAGAAGAGAAAAAACCATGTAAAGACCACACTGGTTATTCAAATACTGCATTTTCAGTGGGGGATTTTTCTTCATCAAACCCCGTAAAGAGACTATAAGAATAATTTTTCTATGATCCCCTTCATTCCATGTCCCATCAGACCCCTCATAATGTGTCTGCACCTCTTCCATACCACTGCATCAACTAAACTATTAAATTATCTGATTCTCAGCAAAGGTCTCCTCTGATCAACCATCCTACACTAGACCCTTCAGCAGTCTTTTATAACTGAATTATCCTCACTGCAATGCATAAGCTATAGAAACTCTGAGAGGCCCTGGGGCAGAGACTGGCAGCTAGTAACCAAAACAGTGCTGTAAAAGCCTCTAAGATTCCTCCTATTTATTGATTACTCTATTTATTTTGTAATATAGTGTAGAATACCAAATATTTTATTTTTATATTTGAAATTCCCTCTTGGAAAAAAAAAACTGTGCTTTTCAAATAATGCGCTTCCTCAAACTACGGCTTATTTTTGGTAGATGATCTGCTTCTCATCTCTCTTAGCATCTGGACACTTCCTGTTATTTTCTGCAATCTTGCCATAACGTGCCATAATTTTGTGCATTTGTCTCTCATAGACATAATGTGATTTGTACAATGTAAACTGAAATGTAAGCATTCATGAAAACAATTAACCAATGAATGAATATGTTGTTGCTTAACCTGGTGTTGGTTTTATCATAGGCCCTGTGGATTCACAAAGGGCATACCTATGAGGGGAAAACATTGTCAGACTGCAAAGGAATATGAACGCTACTCAGAGAACTGAGTGGGCATCTGATTGAGTCTTTTTGTCTTTCAAGGTAAGTGCTTCTTCCTCTGACCTTGTCCGTTGCTTTCACCGATCCATCAATTTAAAAGTCCATTTAGATTTACCAATGATTTCACAGAAGGCCAAAATATTAACTTAGCCGTTTCCAAAAGAATGTGCTTCAAAGTGGCTACTTCTTCTATTTGATACAAATATTTTTGGCCTGGGAAATGAATGGAAATCTTTTTTCCAGAATTGTTAGTAAACATGTTGGTGTTCTTTGTGAATCTTTATTCTTTGAGGAGGAAAATATATTTTAATATAAAAAAGTTTTACATATTCTTACTTGAGTCATTAACAGACTCTAAAGCAAGCAAGCACTGCTTTGGAAAAAAAAAAAACATTTTGTCTATAGCACAGAAAGGTCATTTTTCCTTTTAAGGTTTGTGGGTCTTTTCACAGAGTCCTCTGTGATCACAGTTGGGTTTTTTTGTTGTTGTTGTTGTTTTGGTTTTTTTTAAGGATTTAATTTTTTTTTTAAATTTAGGTTGTTTATTTTTCATTTCAATGAACATCTACAGAGATTTTGGGATTCCA